TGTAACGTAATATAACTATGATATCTCTAAAATCTTTCGCGGTTAAAAGCGGTCGCAAGTGCGACTGCCGGGCAAGAGGTCTCGGGTTCGATTCCCAGGTCGGGCAAAGTATTACTGGGTTTGTAAAAACCTCAGTAGTAGCACGGAGTCTGGAAATGTGCCCGGTATATGGCAATAGGCTCACCCCCTATTACATGGGACTCATAACATAAATAGTGAAAAGTGGGTGTTACATTGTACAATGGCACAATGTGCACCTCTGCCTACCCCTTCGGGGATAAAAGGCGTGATGTTATGTTATCTCTAAAATCCTCAAATTCCTAATCCCCAAATGGCTGGTAACGCACTTGTAACGCCTCAAGTGATTCAGGTGTCCATGGGCAGTGCCGATTTCTTACCATCATGTGATGATGAAATGAAAAAAAAAAAAAGTACAGAGATAACAATTCCTTAACATCTCAACAGATCATGTTTGGGCAACTGCGTCGTGGCGAGTCCGTCCTCATTCATGCAGGTTCTGGAGGAGTAGGTCAGGCCGCCATCAATGTGGCGCTCCATTACGGGTGCGAGGTTTTCATCACTGTCGGTACCGCGGAGAAGAGAGCATTCATCAAGAAGCTGTTTCCTCAGCTAAAAGGTTGGTGAAAAATAGCCCTGTAGGTACTTATTTGTAAAAATAGATGTATACCTCTATATAAATAGGGATAAGAATTAACAAGTGTTCATCAACTTTGTAATCTGTTTACGACAGACAGCCATATCGGTAACTCCCGTGACACTTCTTTCGAGGACATGATTAGTCGTGAAACGAACGGCAAGGGTGTCGACATGGTGCTCAACTCTTTGTCTGATGATAAACTACAGGTAAGTCGTAAGTCATATTATAATTTAGGTCCAATATTTTGTAATACTCAAATACAATCGAAGTATAATCACGCTCTGTAACATAAATACATATTTTTTCATCGAAAAATAGACATAGGTGTTACTATTTTCTTCAGATATTTTACAAGTAACATTGTATAATGTTAAAATTATGTTCTGTTCAGGCGTCAGTCCGTTGTCTTGCGTTCCGTGGCCGGTTTCTCGAAATCGGCAAATTCGACATCACAAACAACACTTCCATCGCCATGTATTTCCTCTCGAAAGAAATTACCTTCCATGGCATCATGTTGAATTACATCTTCAACCTGGAGCCGGTTATCAAAAAGGTAAGTACCGTTAACTTCCTCTTCATTATGATTTACTTTAGATATTCATTGATTCCAATATTTTACGTTATAATATTTTTCTTTTACGCACTTTGTTCTTTTACCCACTGTAAAACTCATTAAAATATTTTCTCAGCGCTTCCAAGACCTTTGCCTACGTGGCATCGTAAACGGTGCCATCAAACCTTTAACTTACTGCTCCTTTAAGGCCAACGAAGTGGAAAATGCCTACCGTTACATGGCTGCTGGCAAACATATCGGGAAGGTAAACCTTTATTCCGCTGAAAATGTTTTAAACTCTTTACATGAATTATTTAAATTTCAGAAGAAATTATGTCTGTATTAATGTAAAAAATATCTAGAGGTATATATTACAATCTCAAATTCTCAGGTAATTATCAAGATTCGTGAAGAAGAGCAGAGCAACGGTCAACTCAGACCCGTAGCAATGCCCATAGATGCTATACCTAGGTAAATGAATAAATAACTTATATGATACAGTATACTTGAGATTTTTTGAGGACACTTTCTTTAATCCTTATACTTCCTAGCCCTTTATCGTAAAACACTATTCATCAGATATATTTGCCACAAGGACCTTGTATATGTAGTGATCGGCGGACTCGGTGGCTTCGGTCTAGAGCTGGCTGACTGGCTCATCATGCGAGGCGGCAGAAAGATCCTGCTGACGTCCCGCAGAGGTATCACTAATGGATACCAGTCGTCGCGATTGAGGTTTGGCAAAAATTTAAGAATTGATCACTTATTATTTCTTGTCTTTAGCATCTTCATATTTCGGTTCACTTATTAATTTTTATAGGGCCTGGGCATCATATGGTGCAGATGTCCAGATTTCGACACATGACGTCACCACTGAGCCTGGCTGCGAGGAAATGCTCAAGATGGCGCTCAGCATGGGACCTGTGCATGCTATTTTCAACTTGGCTGTTATCCTGAAGGACTCCATTTTCCAGAACCAAACTTCTGAGACCTTCAAGACATCGTTCGCGCCAAAGGCTCTTGCTACCATGCATTTAGATAAACTATCGAGGAAGCTGTGCCCAGACTTGAAGTAACTATCTATGACTTTAATAATAACATAAGACTAAGTTGATAATACACATTTATATATATATAAAATTTTCAACGCTCTTTCTAGTTTATTCTTTAAGTTTTCTTTTACTTTCTCTGTTAAGTTGGTTTAAGTTTTATAAGGTTAATTGTATAGATTAGAATGTTATTTAAAAATAAGTGAAGAAAACAACAAAAATTAATTAACAGAATGTTTATTTGGCCTTAACTTTAAAGTTATATTAACACTATACTCGAAATTTTAATTCGATTCCAGATTTGACAATTTCAGTGTTGCAACGTTATGACAAGTACTAAATAGTGACGTTGCGAAATTATTCGATATGGAAATACAATATTTGTGGATCGATTCTTCTCGTTTATAATTTTACTCTTGTAAACTAAGTATATCAGGAAATTAAATATTTCTGAACCGATAATTTAGTTTTGACGATTAATTAACGATCTGAGACTTTTCTTTTATAATTGTGTGTGAAATAAATAAAAAAATGTAATCATGAAGGAACATGACAAATAAAACAGATAGATGTATTATGGTAATAAGTTATTTTATAAATTGTCGCCGTCATCGCTATCGCTATCCTGTCACTTTCTGTAACATTTATTATAAAACACACACACTGATTGTTTATCGATTTTTGTGTTCATCACTACACTATTATATGTGGTATCATTATTTCACAAAATGACAGTAGCTATTGTCAAATCTGGAATCTAATTAAAATTCTGACTATAGT